ATGTGTTACCATACTTACTTCTATATTATAATATAGTTTTCTAAACATAACATCACACTGATTTACAAGAAAAGATGAATTTATTGCAGAGAAAGGATTCTTTTCATACATACATATATATTTATTTATAGATAGAAAGATATTTTTATAGAATAACCATTCAATTTTGGAACAGTATAATATACAACAATACAAGAGTTTTGTTAGTTAACTGCATAGCAAGGACAGATTATATAATCATCTGTAACAATGTTATTAATACTTTGAAACATTGAACATTATATTTTACATTTGTTTTCTATACAAGGTAGGCGATACCAACCATTGTGTATTGAAACTGTAGCAACCTATCAGATAGAAGCTGTCATTTTCATACAACAGAGCAGTCAATGAAAGCAAGCATCTGATCGGCGTCTATGGGAGGCAATTTCACTTCTATTTTCTTCCAGTATTTCTATGAGACCTAATATGTGGATCATATTGAAGGAGGAGTTGGTTAAACTTGGCACAGTGTTACTACCAGACCGGTGACCTACTAAACACATGTTAAGCAAAACCAAATTTAAACAGGCTTCTGTTGCTGGGCTTTGGGCTGTGTCATTGAGCTTGCTTTTGATATCAGTTTGAGATGATTCTAAGATCATTCAGAAATTATTAAGTCAGTTTTAGACCACCTCTTGGACTTGCATTTGACCTGGTGCAAGTTACTTTTTTATTCCCACAGACTAATATGGCAAGAGAAGCAGTTCTGCAAACAAAAGCCCGTTGACATAGGTCCTACTTTCCTTTCCTATTACTTGAAGCACCCTGTTAGAATTTATAAAGGAACTTCAACCTCCATTTCTCCCTCCTCTTACCCTTTTTACTGGGTTATGCAGAAAGAACCTACTCAAATGCCCAGTGATCCATTGGTGATCTGTAGGGATCTTCTGATCTGCCTGCTGCACAGATGGATCCTGCATCACCACCTTCTTCTCTGATATCATAATGGGGCTGGCTGTCCTCTCTGGGTTCCTGCAGCCAAGAAACAGCCATCAGGGGGCTTGCTGCAAGTATCAGGAAGAGATAACTGGCCCCCTGATGCTGCTCAGGTGCCGTAGAATACCCCAAGACCTCCTGTGATGCGAGACGTGGGTATCCCAGAAAGCCACAGGGGACACATACAACATTCTCCCCTAAGCAACAATGCAGGAAGTGCAAGGAGGGTTACCCCCAAAAAAAGTATTTAAAAAAAAAATGAATAATACATTTTAGATAGATTGGCGAGGGTGAATCTTCTCTTTAACTTTCATTCTCCAATTCCTCACACCTCTGATGGCATCATTCCTTTCTGTGCCAAATATTACTTAACAACGAGACAACACATGTACTGCCAAAATACCCAGAGACAAATAGATATATGACCTCAGCAGTAAATTTTGTGTCATCATATGAAACTTCTTTATACATAGATCTTTTTTTGATGAAGTCTGTCTTTTTTTAATTAGTGTGAAATAGTTATAAGTCTCAAAAAGTGTTCTTTGTACATGTGTCAAAGGTTTCTTAGGAATATTCGGCAAATAAATATATAATACATTTGATGGCAAAATAAAAATTGGATTAACATTGCACGTTTGGTCAATTTACTGGAGGAAACAAATGCCGCTGTGGATAGGAACTAGAATTCCAGTCATTTGATACTGCAGTTTATGGAACTGAAATTAATTGATTGGTTGATTTGGACAACATAGCTTCAAGTTTATATAAATGTAATTGATCTATGCATAAAAGTTTCCGAATATGAATACTGGTGTTTACATCCCGGACCCCTGAGGGGAAGAATTACACATATTTTCTCTATTTGAATGGTTTTACCGTCCAAATTATCTTATATGACGGCGTGGGAACGAGATATCGGCTATGAGATTTCGCTGGAGGAGTGGCACCAATGTTGTACAAGATCATCAAGAGGCCTTCTTAATGCTTCCCTGACTGAAGCTAATATTAAAGTCCTAACACGCTGGTGTCTTGTTCCAGCCAAATTGGTGAATATTCATCCGGGATCCTCCCTGCAGTGTTTTAGATGTGACAGTGTTGGCTTGATGTATCAAATATGGTGGTTATGTCCTAAAATATGTACATTTTGGAATAAAGTATATATATATAGCTATAAAATTGTCAAGGCATGAGTCCCACGTGAACCATGTTTTGCATTGCTCAACAAGTATATTCCTACAGTCTCTAAAAAGTTAAAAAAAATTGATGTTTTTTTTTCTTGGCAGCGAAAACCACTATTGCTAAGGCTTGGAAAAAAACCAAGGTTCCTTTTTCATACTTTAAAGCAAAAGTTTAATGGATTATGATCCATGGGAAACTTTATAGTATAGCACAAGATAGGAGAGCCCTCTTTGAAGTGGTTTGGGAACCTTGGAGGTCCTCTGGATGAGTCTGCCCTGTAAAATATGGGTAGATGGGGTGGTGGGGGAATGACCTTGGGAACTTTTCTTTGGGTATGATGACCCTTTTTGCTGTTTTTTCCCTGCTCATATTTGGATATAGTTTAGTATTTAATATGGATAATGGAAAGCAATGTTACTGTCTATATTTTTACTTTGTGGATGGATTGAAGGTGACAGAACTTGTGGTAGTAGAAGGGAAGGAACTAGAGATTATGTAGATATATTGGAAACTTTTTATAATTTTTTCTCCTATCTTTTGTTTGTTAGTATCTGTATTCTGAAAAATTGGAATATCTGGTTTTGTTCTTTGTTGTGTGTAAAATTTTTATGTGAAATACTGAATAAAAATATTCAAACAAAAGTTTCTGATGAAGTAGTCCCATTTCTGAAGGTGTGTTCCATCGCAGCCAATTAGATTCTGTATTTTATGCTTCCAGTACACAGTGAGGAATAAAATGAAATTGTTAAGGTATGAGTTGGAACTATGACTAACGTAACAGCCTACACGATAAACATCCCTACTTTTTTCCTTTAAGGTTGTGGAATATACCTACATTGTGTTGTGCAGTCAATGGAGGATCCTGTTTCACAAATTAGCATGCTAGCTGCTGTTCTATTATACACATCATTTATGGAACATTTTGTGTATGTTCTAGTCACCTTACGTGTAACAATGTAGCAAACACATTCTGTTGCTATCCTTGCATTTCTTATCGCCATGGTCAACTTTTTAATGGTATGTACTATCCATAATGTGCCATTTGGCCAGTACAAGCCAATACCCGTTTTTGCCTTCTGCAGTTCAGGGACCATAAACTCTACAGTTTTCTATAAACGTCTGCATAGACAAAGCCTAAAATGAGATGATCATTACCAATCTGGCTGATTATGAGTAGACTGGATCACAATTGCCTGCCTGCTGGCACATTACATACTCTATGGACAACCTTCATGGACTGACCCTGGGAGAAATACTGATTTCTGGGGATTGATTTTCCATAAATAATCACAGTTGTTCTTCTGAGTTTATGCCAATAGTGGGGGTTACCTCCTCAGTAAGAACACATGCATGTTTGGTTAATATGGGCACATTTATGCTAACATTTTTCTGAAGATAAAACAGTAGTCACCATTTTATATTTATGGACACCTAAAGGTCAAAGTGTGGAGAGAAAAAAAGTTGATAATTATCTCCTCTAGGGTATCTTTTTCTCTAGAGTAACCCAGGATGTGCAAACAACTATAAAATCCTTGGGTCACTGGTTCTGTCCTGAACCCTTTACCCTCCTGTGCCTCAGTTTTGTTTAGCAATGCTGCCTGTCACAGTGAAAGGCCACTCGTGACCTAGTAGTGGCCAGTAGTGAGGTGCATGAGGCAGGGGGGTGGGTCTGACCCACTGACTATGGAAGCTTGTCACTGTGTACAGTTTACAGCACCCTGTAGTCATCCTGGAGTCAGGGATCCAAGGAAGCTACAGAGAACATACACTTGTTGATGCCTGCAATACAGAGTAAGAATTTCGGGGGGTGGGGGGGTTTCTCCATAGGTTCACTTTAAGCCTCTACAGTTTCACAAAATGTACAGAGAGGAGAGGTCAGAGGCAGGGCAATGACCATGGACGCTGGTCACTATGTACAGATTAGAGCACCCTGCTAGTTTGGGATCCAAGGAACCCATAGAGAAGAGCCAATTGGTGATGCCTGCAATCAAGGGTAAGAATCTTGGTTTTCTCCACAGGTTCACTTTAAAGTATCTTTCCACTTTTGCAGTCAAATTTGAGAAACCCTCCACTAAATGTTTGTAAGAATACCTAAAAATAATGTAATAAATATATGTGTTACCTTTGTAGCTGTTTCTTCGGAGCAATATTATACATAGGACTCTATGGGCATCTTTTATTGGTTAAAATAGATGGGAATGTGGAGATAAGGGACAGACTTAAGGGACTTTTTTTTTTAAGTGAATAAACATACAATGCATCGCTCAAGTATTGAAATCTTTAACACTTTGATAGGACAGAGAGTCCTGCACATCTAGTATACAAATGATAATGGAGATCAGCCAGCACAGGCAAGGTTAATTATGGTAAACATAACTTCCCAGACCTCTCCTTAACATTACATAGAAGGGGAAAGCTAAATACAATTTCAGCAAGTAAAAATGGTACGTAGCAATTTTCAAATATTGTGAATGGGAACGTGTAACAAATATAAAGTAGATTTTATCCCAATTTGGCTGCAAAAGTGTAAATACACTTTAAGTCTCTACAGTTTTTACTAAATTGACTTTCCTACCTTCAAAATGTTAAAAGCCTTTGCATGCATAACAGAACAAGATAGTGTTCGTTTTGTTCTTACTGTTTTTTAGAACATCAAATTTGACAGAAAAGTGAATTAGTAACACCAAAGCAGACATATTGAAAGCCTATAATATTTACATACTAAACATTTTCCTTTTTTTTTAACAGATACTAATGTGAATTTGCATTTTCAGATGTAAATAAGCGATAACTGAGCAGTCAACATAGCCAATTGTTACTTAAAAGAGCACTGTGTTACGTATTCTTGTTTTTTTTGGTTCAGCAACATTAAGGTAAAGATATTTGTACTGCACAAATCATTCACTTGTCACTAACTCCTTTGGTACTAGAAGCGAACAGAATAGAATAAAATCACCATCACTACCAGTATGGACTGCTCTTCATAAATGAGAACAAAGGGGTCAGTTATGTCTATGCAGGAGCTAACATAGAATGTCACCTCTTGCGGAATCTTTATTTATTTACTTTGGAATCATAACTGCCAGCGTGTTTGTATGCACCTACATAGCCAGTGTTTTCCACAATGGTCTCCCGGCCATCTTTGCCCTTTCCCTTCCCACTCTCATCGAATCGTTCCTTGTGGGATCCTGTGTACTTGGATGTGTCTGTAAGACGATCCACAGCTCCAGCTGATGTAGCTTTCTATAGAAAGGAAAGGTATTCGATGGTATGACATTAAGTAAGTTATAAAAGCCATTAAATACAAAAACATAGCAAAACAAGCAGCACAGAATCATGTTAGACCCTGAATTGTATGTTTTTCTTTTTTAGTTTTGGATAGAGTAGTGAACTGTTGCAACCCCTGTCAAGGCTTTCCCTGGAACAGGGGTCCCCATTGGAAGATCTCCCTCCACCTCCTGTCCTAGTAACAACTGTAAAGAGTTGGATTTCTCATCACTTTCTGTCCCAAAGACAATGGACACCAGGACAAATAGAGAAGTTGAATCTTCCCTGTGGGGACGCAGACATGAATAAAAACCTGACCAAGGTTTCAACCCTTCCCCACTCCATCTAAGACTACAAAAACATTTTGGCAAAAGATACTGGGAAACTAAAACATGACCCCCAATGACAAAGATTAGGCCTACCAAATGTTTAATCCTGTCTATATAACCAGGTTATATTGTGATCCTAGGAAAACACACAGAGCCATGCCAAAAACTCAATCCCAAATTTGTCCATATTTTATAAAAGCTGTACTTACTTAAAAAGCCACACCCCTGGTCTGCTAAAATAGATGTGGTAAGAGGATATGTACACACAAGTTCTTTAGTGTTTTTCCCCATATTCTACTGTGTTGTGTCCAGTGTAAATTCAGAGGCAACTCTATAGCTAGACAGGAGGCCCTCTTTCACCTATATGGGATGTGTCTAGAGATTGTGACTGGCAAACCAACCCAAAGTGCAGGTAGGCACAACAGGTATACATGATAAGTGAGCAGGTAGAGTTAAGTTGGGCTTGTAGGTGTTGCCCATGAGAGCATGGTGTGCTTGGGAAAAGCTTAAGGAGGCAAAGAAGAGAAGTTTGCTTAGCTGCCATTTTGCTGTACTTCACCTCCTATTACAACTGAGTGATTATATATTTAATATAATGCTTTAGATGCATAAAAAAAAAAATTGGCATTTAAGTGTGTCTGCCAGGGCTGACAATCCTATAAATGAGAGGGTCAAAGTGGGTAATATCAAGGGCTTCTAACCCTATGAAAGTCCGGCTAAAAAGTAAAATAATAATGTTGGTGAATTCACAAGAATTCAAAACACCAGATGAAAAGTGAATTCCATAATATGTAAATGTTCTGCCATTTTCTCATCATTTTCATTGCCAGTGCAGAGATGAGCACAGTATTACTGGTCTCTCACTGTCATATCATATGCTGGTGGAATACAAAGAATGCATTGTATCAGTTTTACAGTAATGATAATGCAAATAGTATATCTTAATACCGTGACTCCTGTGCTAGCAGGTTCCTTCCCGGCCACAAGTGTACACATAGACTCGTAGGCTTCCTCTTTACTTTTTCCTTTAAATTTTTTTGATGAGAGCTCCTCGAGTGCCTTCTGAAATTCGTCATAGGTAATGACTCTGGCGGTCTTTTGTCTGAAATACAATAATAATACATATATGACCTCTATTTTGATCATGCATTTTCTCAGAATGAAGCTATGTAAATAGGAATGTAGTAGAAAGCATAATTTAAACCTGTCACAAATGGAGGCAATTCAAACTCATTGGGGTCTATTCACTAAGCTGCCGAAGGATCTAGCCGTAGCTTCGGCTGATCCTTCGGCTAGCTTCAGGCCTCAGGACCCCTTTGGTGTGCAGGTAAGAGGAGCTAGGAAGGAGGGAGGGAGGGAGATGCAGCCCTGACCAGCCTACCTTAGAACCCCTTCAGAGCCCACTATAGACAGTCTCAGATGGGCTGTGCAGCATCTATGATGGGCTCTGCAGGGTCACTCTCAGGTGAGTCCAGCGCTTCACTAAGCCCTGAATCCAGCGGGTCACCAAGCCCTGCATCCAGCGGGTCACCAAGCCCTGCGTCCAGCAGGTCACCAAGCCCTGCATCCAGCAGGTCACCAAGCCCTGCGTCCATCGGTTTACCAAGCCCCGCGTCCAGTGAGTCACTAAGCCCTGCGTCCATCGGGTCACTCAGGCCTGCATCCAGCGGGTCACTCAGCACTGCGTCCAGTGGGTCACTCAGCCCTGCATCCAGCGGGTCACTCAGCCCTGGGTCCAGCGGGTCACTAAGCCCTGTGGCGGTGCGGTGGGGGGGGCCCAGCCTAAAGCCGTGTAAGGGGCCCCAAAAATTTCTGATGGCTGCTCTGATTGACGTTGCCTAGATAATGGCACACTGTGAGTGTAACACGTGCTTACTTAGTTGCTGTGTTCTTTTAAATATAGATTTGATGGGCTGCTATGTATAGATAAAAGGTAGGTCAGCTTTCTAGCCTTGGATGCAAAATCACATGCAAATATATTATTAAAAAGGCTCCGCTTACTTTACTTTAGAGAACACAATGTCAACATCGGTGCCAGTCACAGTTTTTCCATCTATAACTTTGCACTCTTTACAAAGTTTGGCCCAATTTTTCCCCGTCATTTCTTGACCTGTAGCTTTTGTATCGCCATAGATTGCAAACTTCTTAAAACTTTCTTCTAGAGAAGCAATGCCTGTGCTTTCGGCCATTGTTGTTCTGAAAAACAGAAGAATTCTTTGTTTATGATGGAGAAATGTTAGTTTTAGATTGAAAAACAGTTTTAATAGAAGCTGTGAATAATCTAATCACTTTGTAGTAATTCTTTGAAAAAAATTGACATGTATAATTCATATTTATATAGAGGTAGACATATTTGCTCATTATATATACAGGTTTAAATTGTTCTTCTTCTCACAATGCAAGTCTATAAGTCTGCTAATGCATTGAAAACAATGCACTGCCTATGTGGCTGATATCCTGTCAAAGTAGATGTATACCCTAAATGAATGACATTTGCTTTACTAAAGAACTTATGTTCACATTTTTTTTCCATCCATGCTGAATCTGTGCTGCTGCAGCCTCTTTGCAGCCCCTCCTGTCTACATGCACTCCTGTAATAACTGCAAGGCATTTTCCAGGGTGAGTTTCCTGATGGTGACAACAGTGGACCATGCCTGCATAATGTGTGGTAAAAGAGCCACTTGTTTTCTCCCTTGGAAGCCTATGTGATGGGGTGACACTGCAGGAGCACAGCTGGGAGGTAAGGGCCGAGTGTTGTCATCCTATAACAGTCTCTGAACTAAGTGCATTATTGGCAGGATAACCAGGTGTTATTTTACTGAAAGCTGCAGAATTTAAAATATTGAGAATTAATTGAAAGATCACATTGGGATGTTAAAGCTTTCATGAGATTTTAGGGGTGGGGCTCCATATACTTTAAACGTAAATGTAATCACAGTGAGCTACCGAAAGATCCAATAACAGAAATATATGGAAGGGCAGGCTTGTTATAATGTGAATCACATCTTAAATTACTTTAGGCTAGGTTCACACCTAGGCGACACCTCACCTCGGTTTGCCGCACACTTAGGAGTCGCCATGGTGTGAACCGATCGCGCTGTGGGTGCCTATATTTTCTGGCACCACAGTCGTGGCTGGTGGTTCGCGCCTGTGCTAAAACAGCCGCACGTCGTGTATCGCAAAAAGAAGGTACGTGTACCTTTTTTCTGCATTGCCGCACGGATGTCACCCCATTGAAATCATTGGGGCCTGCATTGTGCAGGACCGCATGATCCAGGGACGCGCGTCCCGGCTGTCATGCGGTGTAGTGGAGGTGTGAACCTAGCCTTAAAGCGACACTAAACTCAGAAGTTAAATCTTAAAAATGCATTAAAGAACCTGAACTATTAACTAAAATGTATCTTATTTGTGTATCACTCGGCTGTAGATCCTCAAATCATCTCTGAATTGGTGCTAACACTGTCCTTCCTTCTGGAGGGGGGCTACTTTTCTTCCCCATGGTCCCTGTTTTTGTTGCAAAGTAGCCACCGCTCCAAGCTCACTCCAGTAATGGACTGCAATCTCAATACAAATTAGTAAACTAAACTTGAGATTGTAGTCCCATCACAGGAGTGAGCTTGGAGTGGTGGCTACTTTACAACACACACAGGGACCATGGAGAACAAAAGTAGCCACCCTCCAGAAGGAAGGACAGTGTCAGCATGAATTCAGAGATGATTTGCGGATCTACAGCTGAGTGATACACAAAAAAGATACATTTTTGTTAATAGTTAGGATGCTTGAATGCATTTTTAATATTTAACTCCTGAGTTTCACTTTAAGGCAAGCACTAAAGTATAAAAACATGCACTCATTGGAAATACATTATACGTTCCCTTTAAGTGCCAACAAATGAAAACTAGAACATATCAATTGTTGCATATAGTAATACACATGCTGTCACAAATGCCTATGGACTCAAGAATTTCCTGTTAATAATTAACAGTATACACACAGTACATATTGACGGGAAAAGCATTCAGCTACCAGAAACACGCTACAGACCAGACGCAGAGTTCTGACTGCATATGTACGTTGTTAATCACTACAATTATAGATCTAATTAAGCCACAGTTATCAGACATCAGCTCAATATGTTTGCCCTTCCAATGTAATTTGTCATACATAATTACTCAGCCTTGTTCACATGTGAACAGAGTCCAGCACACTATCTCATGGCACAAGGAAGAATGCTTATTTTCTATGCACGCAGAGTCAGAAGCTTTCTGTTTTGATGTGTTTTTAGTGGCAACAAGCAGTTGCTATCTGGCGTTCAGCACAAAGTTTACCGCATGGTATTTGTACCTACGCTGCGTTGCTATGTAAGCTCTCTTGGTATATAAATTTATGTTAGTGAAGGCACCTCCTGCATGTTAATAACGTATGCTGGTTCCTCTTGTAAGGTGTGAAGATTGGACATTAATCTTATGTAAGTTAGCTTTCTGGCCTGGACTTGCAAATGTAACCTAAAGTGAACCCTTTGAGGTGAAATCACCACAGTAACTTAAAATCCTTTCATAGGAAGACTTTCATTTGCAAGTCAACCAGGTCACTCTTTGTTTGATGTGAGGAGCAGTTCTAGGCAGCATGTAAATTAAGTCAATGAACGGATACCACTATTCAAGAAATTGTCAAATATGCTAAAATCAGAAAGCCCGCTAAATGTACTTTGATTGGAGTTTCAATATAAATCCAAATTTAGCACACTCTTTTGTGGGCAGGGCTGCAACTTCTTGTCACCTCATTTTGTGTTGTGCAACCTCCTTCTCATGCTGCAGGGTGTGTTTGTGGAGGCAGCAGTGAGGTTTAGCATGAACCAGTAAACACGTTGGCCTACATTTTTAGGTAGGCTTGGTCAGTTTTAATGCTAAATTGTGTGTAATGCTGACAATGACCCATATAAAGGCAGTCCACCGGTTACAAACAAGATAGGGACTGTAGGTTTGTATTTAAAGTTGAATTTGTATGTAAGTTGGAACAGGTAAATGTTTTAAGTGTAACTACAGCCACATTTCTTTTGTTTTGGATTGCATAGGGAAGGGTTTACCCCCTGTAAAGTTTGTTTTGCTGTGTGTGCCCCTGTTCAGAAGATTTCACCTCACTTTCTGTCCCTGTGGCATCTGGATTTTGAAAATGTTGGGTTGTCGTGGACACAAGGATTGGTGATAAAGCTTCAGTGGAGACACCTTTTTCACATGATCACTCTTACAGGAGGGAATTTCCCTTCCTAGGGGTAGATTTCCTTTCACTTCCTGTTGTCTCAAGGACAGTAAGTAAGAATAAATCTTTCTAATGAGGATACAGAAAGCAGTAAAAACCTCACAGTGACCCGGGAAGAAGAGGCGGGCACCCCTCGTCTGCAGGTCTAACAAGAGCCAACTTCCTGTAATGTACGTATAGTACCATGAACCAGACCCAAAAATACGGGCACTCCTTGTCAGCATGAGCGTGGTAGCATTACAACTACCCCTGCTGTACAGTAGTAGCCTCCGTTTGTAAGTAGGAGTCGTATGTAAGTCGGATGTATGTAACTCAGGGACTGCCTGTAATGGGTATATATACCATATAGCGTACTTCAGTGCACAGATGTGAACCATCTGCATGTTGTGGTGTGCAGCTATGTTTTTTTGGGCATTCAGGTGCTTTGCTAGGCCAATTCCAAATCAACTTTGTGCGAGGCCTAGAATTTTCTTTTAAGTTGTAGGTGGACATGGTTAACATTATTTACCTATGTTTCTTGTTATTATCATCATATACTGTGGGGGGAATTTATCAAAACTGGAGCAGACAAAATCTGGAGCAGCCGTGCATAGTAGCCAATCAGCTTCTCTCTTCAGTTTGCTCAGTTAAGCTTTAAAAATGAAAGAGAGAAGCTGACTGGTTCCCATGGGCAACTGCTCCAGATTCTGTTTGCTCCAGTTTTGATAAATCCCCCCTGTATATAAATTGGCAACAAATTACTCAGAAATTGATTTTGTTTACCAAACCAACCTAAAATGTTTCTGCTGGAGGTTCTGGTCCAGTACTTTCCCCAGTTGTGGCCAATATAATATCCCACTTTAAGTCATACAATGGAGTCTCTCCTTTACTGCTGTGTTTTCCATTATGCAAAATAAGTGGAAAAAATAAAAAATCCATTAGCGAGAGGAGGGACATAATTGTCAACGCTGTGGCAGGCGGGAGCAGCAGAATCAGCGAAGGAAATCTCGCCACAAAAGTCTCTAAACAATATGACCCAACTGTCAAACCATCCAAAACTGTAACATCACATTTTAAAGGGCTTTTCTCTGATTGCGTTGTTTTGTTTGATTGAGCTGCAATCTTGTGTCCCTGGAATCAATTAGGTTTATTGTAATTTAGAGGCCCAAATCACTGAACGGTGAGGCAAGGTAAAGTGAAGTGAATCTGGAAAAGTGAAGTGAAATTTTATGTATGGTGTAGAGTGAGGTAAAATGAGGTAAAGCAAACCTTTGTTCACTTCAAATATTCAGACATGTTCAGAAGACGTCTCATTTTCTTCAAAAAATCCCGCAGATGGTTGCATGTTTTATGTGCACACAGGTGCACTTTACTTCATTTAATCTCATTTCACCGTACCTAGCAACCAGGCCATAGGTTACTTTTGGATAAAACAGATGGGAATCATTTATAATAAATATGCTGAACTATTATTCTTATTGTTTAAACCGGAAGTAAAGTCAGTTAAATAAAATAAATTGCTGGGAAGTAGGGAAAAAAAATCTTCCCCTCTCCCCCAGCGATTCTCTAGGATGCCGTAAATGGGCTGGGTGCTGGGGATGAAGAACCTCCTGTGAATATGCACAATGACATCACAGAAAAGCATGCCTGGGGATCTAGAAGTGCCAGCAGCGGCAATGGAAGCAGTGGGGGACAGAGGAGGGATAGAAGATCGATCTGACATTGTTGGAGAAGGACACACTTGTATGGTAAGTGTGCTCTAATGTGTAAGTTCCTATTGTAGTGCAAGTGTAGACACACACAATATATTCCCATTGAATTGGCATTTGCGCAATCTAAGACAAAGCGTTGTTTACTTAAAGCCTCAATAACTAGCAAACTGTTTTATCACTAGATACACAGGTTGGATGATAGGACAAATGAGCTCAGTATTTGTTCAGGGTGCCAAACGATTTTGA